CCAGGACATGTTTGGAGGGGTGGGGCAATTCCTCCATTTCTAATGTCCCCACTGACACAGTGAAGGCCATACTTCCAAGGGACAGTTTTCAAGCATCCAAATTAGATTTAGTAATGCAATCCTATGAGTTTGACCCCTAAATTTTACTTATCAGACATCTAAGCCTACCTATAAATTGGATTATCTTAGGTCTGGGTTGTGTATTACACGAACGTGTCTAATTGCTTTTGAGATTTGTATGATTTGCCATAGGATGTGTGTTTGCATAAAGGGCTAGTCCTGTGACACATGACTCTTTGCAGTTAAACTTGTCACCACTAGATGAAGCTCCCGATACTTTTGCTCTCCTTTCAAGGAGAATTTGTTCTATTCGGTCATCAGATGACACTGGTGTGAAATTTGAAATCCTTATCTTAAGGTTGCTCAAAGTTGCTTTGCTCTGAGAGTAAAGCGACCAGTCTATTTTGCTAATTTCAGTGAAATTCAGAGAGCTAAGTGTTAAAATGCTCATAAATGGCCTTAAGAGTATAACCCATGACTTCTCCTGTTAGTAACTCTTTGTTTAAAAAGATATACCCATCGTCCCCTACTTACACTGACTAGTTTTATAGCAAGTATTGGCTTCAGACAAGAGACATCAGTAGAAAGAGAAAGCCTCTATTTCCTCCTAGGTAAGAGTTAGGGATTAGCTCACTCAACATTTCTCTCTTCAGAGATCGCTGCCTTCAGATGCCTGATTTTCCTGGCCTTACACAGTCTTTTGTCCATTGTTCTGGTTGTTTCAAGTGAGAAGATAAATCCCAATCCCTACCCTATCTTGGCCAGAGTGGAAGTTCTTACAGACTTTTAAGCTAAATCTTACAGTAATGGGAAGCCAAGTAATACCCATTCAGTTTAATCAGCCTGTTTTATCAGTTGGAAGCATAAAAATTTCCCTTCAAGATAAAGTATTTAACAAGTTCAGAATCATTCTGATTTATTTCGTAACCATTTTTTTCTGTTTGAGAAAGTGTCACCAGTTATATAAGTAACCTTTAATTGGAAAATGACAGAAGCTCCAGAATTTTTCATTTAACTATGAAATAAATTTTTTAAATGTGGTAGGTTACAATTTCAGTTGTCTAATGTTAGGTTTGCTTAATATTTTGTCCTACATTAACAATCTGAGATTTTTATTGTTGCATTCTTCTGTTTTTATTTTTAGCGAATGTTGTGGAAGCCATGCTAAAGATATCAATGTTTGAAAAACCATCTTCCTGTCAGTTACTGACTTAAAATTCTGACATTATATTGTTTTAACTTTCTGCTGAAACTGAATGAGTTTAAAAGGAGCTATAGAATGCATTTGCTGGGTGAGTTCTACCCCCTGCCATATTTTGCATAGGACCTGGGTCTTTGTACTTTCAGAAATTTACTTTTTTTATTAAAAAAAAAATTTAAACCATATTATAGACTCTGCCTCTATTTTATTTGAAAATGTCAGAAGCTGAGCAATAATTCTGTGAAATACTTTTAATAGATTTTTAGAGATCCTTTTGAAAAGGAATGGGAAAAAAAAGAAGAGGAAGTGGTTTCTAAAACTGTAAGCTAGCAGGGTATTCAGAATGATAGCATCTGGCAGGGACAAAGGCAATCGTGCTTATATTAAGAGGATAAATTCAACAGCAAAAAGGGAGAAGGAGATTCAGTAATGTTTAATTTGTTAGGAGGCTATTTATCATTTTGTTTATCTTGAAATCTCACCACCTGCAATGCTACCACCACATGCAGCATTAGGAAATAAATTTTAAGGTATCTGAGTGCCTGAAATCATGTCCAACTAGATTTGTTTGCTAATTTGTCAGCTTGCAGCACATTAGAAGGAACGATCTTAAAAAAGCTCTAGGGTAGTGATTGGGACTAGTTGAGGTAACAGCAGAAAGTAAATACACATTTGATAATAATGGAGAAACTGGAATAAACTTTGTATAGTACCCACGGAATTCAAAAATATACAGTAACATGGGGTTATTTATTATATCTCATATGCCTCAAGAGCAGCATTTTATTACAACGTAGCATAATAATTAGTGATGATTATTCATGTAGAGGAAACCAATACATGTATACAACTTTAAAGTTTATAATACATTTACAAACTGTTTTCACATATGTAATATCTCAAATTCATTCTGAGATTGATAATAATCCTCTATAATAATTAAAGAAAGTATTATTGCTTCTAATTTAGAGATGAAGAAGTGACCAATATTAAGACGACAACTTTAAGTTCAATTCTGAACTGTTTGAAATAAAATAAACTTGAGTCACTAAAATTTAAATCTGTAGAGAACACCCGAAGGAGATGAAAATATTTGTAATATATTTGAGAACTATTTCCATTAAAATTAGTAAAAATCTTTGAACATTTTATCAAATAAGTCAGTTTTAACTTTTTGGAAAATTTATTTTAATTCATTCATTCTTGCCGGTTTGCTTAGGGCCTATGAGGTGCACAACGCTCTGAGAAGTGCCGGAAAGAGGTGAAGGCCTGGTGTTTGGTACCTAGCCTTCAGGAATTGATAATTAAAGGAAGAATATAAAGCATAAACATGTTAGCATAAGATATGGACCAGAAATGACTAAACAAATACCTACAGTTAAGGATTGGAAAGGAAGTATGTGTCATTTCCAAGGTGGCTTCCTGAAGGAGACATTTGCCTTGTGATGGTAGGTTTACACAGGGGGGACACTGAGAGAGATTTATTGCACATAGAGTGGCAACTTCAGTAAAGATGAAGAAATGCGAGGCTCACCTGGAAATGAAAATTGCTCTGATTAGCCTGAAGTATGGAGCAAGTGTAGGAAATCTAAAAAGAAAAAAAGAAAAAGCTTAAAATATTGAAAATTCATTCACCCATTCAGCAAATATTTTTGAGAGTCTCTTATATGTCAGGCGCTCCTCTAGGATATAAGCACTAGGTGGTGAGCAAAGCAGACAAATTCCCCACCAGCAAGGAGTTTATGTTCTAGTGGGAGATAGATACATAAATAAAGATATAGTGAAGTATCAGGAATCGGTAAGTGCTAAGAAGTAAAAAACAAAGCAGGCTAAGGAGATAGACACTGGGTGATGGTAGGGGTAGATTTAGGGAAGAGTGCTACTGTTTTAGATGGAAACCAATAAGGGGAGTCTTTCTGAGCAAGAAACAGTTCAGAAGACCAGGATGAAGCAAAAGAGTGAGACATGTAAATTCCTTAAGCAATGAACATCTCAAAATTTATTCTCTTATCAGGAAAAAAAAATTGGAAATCCCTTTGGTGAGAAACAATTTTAAATAATAAGTTATGAAGTCACCTGGATCCTCTCCTACTTTTTCTTCTATGATTCTATAGCTCAATTCGATCACTCTGTTTCCTCATTCTCCGCCATCACTTCTGTTCTAAAGGGCAGGAGAGAATTCTGAGAACTCGCAAACACACAGACACAGACACACTCACAGCCAGGCTGGGTCTTGTGACAAGGAATGTTGCAGAGCTACACCTAGCTTCCTACACCTCCTTTATCCTTTCCCTCTCCTGCTGCAGAATTAGATTCCTAAGAATTGGCTTCCTCTCCTTTGTCCCCTTTTCCCCACTCACCCATTTCCCATCCACTCCATGGTGCCCCTGTAACTTCACAAAATGCCATTCTAAGGGACCTCACTCAGTCTTGTGTCCCTGGCCATACATATTGGCTACCTTCCTCCTTTTTGCTACTTCTTCTTTATTGAGTTGTTTATCTAGTTTGAAATAATAAAATATAGAAATAGAAAAGGAATTAAAACTTGAGAATTAACTAAGACCTGATCATGGCAGCATTTGAATGTTGAGCCAAAGCACAGTTTGAAAACTCAAATGGTACAGCAGTGCAAGGCATGTGACACCAGTGTATGAAAAAGAGTCTGTAAAACAATAAAAGCCATGCTTACGAATTTCATTCGAGAACTACATGTGTATGGATGCATTTCCCTTTAAGAAACTAGGATCTAAACAAAACAACAAGATAGAGCATGAGAGGGTTCATGGGGCACATATACTGCCAGTCTGCAGTCCACAGTCTCCACACAGGACCTGCGTCTCTGTGTGCACAGAGGAGACCCTTGGAAAGACTTTGAGCCGAGGAGTGGCATGATCAAGCAGCAGTGGAAAAGATGGATTTGCTGGTACCATGCAAATTACCTGCAGGGTTAAGCCTTGAGAATGCAGCAAGACTTGTTTGAAGGTCATTGTGAGGAGTGATGAGGACTTGGACTACTCTAATGACTATGGGAATTTTTTTAAAGCTGGATAAAAGGAGAATAAAAAAGAAGAACTAAGAGGACTTAGTAAGAAACTGGTGCAGAATCGAGTAATTGTACGGTCCAATCATAGCTCATGGAGGAAGGCTTGAAACAGATGAAGTTAAAGCAAAATACGCTGATCTGGGGAAAGAAGACATTGAAATGTCAGCAGCTCATCCATGTAAACACAGTCCATCAGGCTGCTGGAATTGCATCAGCAGTGCCCTGGAAGGAGAAATTAGGAGAGAGAAATGTGGGATAAATGAGGATAAATGAGAAATATCTGCACTTGAACATATTCTTCGAGAGAAAAAGTAAAGAGCAGAGGGCAGAGGTGGAAGGTCCATATTTAAGGTGTGAAAGAAGACACCACCTCAACCTGGTGGATAAAAAGAAATGGAAAGACAGGGGTGAGGTACAATTCCTTTATGTCCAAGATGCAAGAAGTTACAGACATGGAAAAGCTAAGGATGCTCTCCTCTGATAAGCTGTAGAAGCTGACTGGGAGGCCATCGGTAGTCTTGGAGTTACTTTTTCAAGAGTGGATGGACAGAGGTCAGACTGAATTGCAATAAGGGCACAGTGTAGCAAAGGATTCAAGACTATGTCTTAAAATAACTTGGCACTAAAACACAAGCTTCTGAGGTTTTACACATGAGGATAAGGAAGGGGAAAGATAGAACATCAGGAGTGGCAGCTACTGAAATGCTGGTCTGGCATTTACTGACTTGCCATGGTGTGGCTTTTACTCTGAAGCCACTTGTTGGTTTCTTGTGCTTCCTCAACTAAACCTTTTGTGCTAAGCTTTATTTATACCTACGTGATAAGGAACCAGCTAGTGCTATAATCAGGAAGTATGCAAAGTTCTGAGCCTTACCAAACGGAAAGTGAAAGCGAAAATGCATTCCCCTCCATTCAAAGCTGCAACCGCGTGGATGAAGGTAACACATTAACATTTCTCTTGAATTTATCTTTAAATTAAAAATTTTCGGTGAGAATAATGGCTATAACTTAAGCTGTAAAACTGCTGTATTGAGGAAGTCTGGTAATCGAAAGTGAGGCTCTGGAGAAAGGGAGTGAATCTGACATTACTGTATTAAAAAGTGTGTGCAGTTAAAGATGAGACTTGACTTAAAAATCATTCTGCTTAACCGACTCTCTCTATTTTGGAAATCTTTTAGCCTTTCCCAAATATTTGCTGCAATTCTTGGGACTTCAATCCCAGGATGTTTTGTTTATTGCGGTGTCACTGAAGGGACAGTGTAGCATGTTGGAAAAGTCCCTTAGACCAAGGGTCAAAGAACTACATTTTAGTCCCGACTCTGCTTCAAACTTCCTGTGTGATTTTGGGAAAGTTACTCCCCCTCGGTTTCCTTATCTGGCCTTTAAAGTCCTTACTGGTTCTAAAGTTAAAGGCTCTTGTGAATGAATATCAAGGCCTTTACTTTTCATTCTTATAAAAAAATATATATATATACACTTTTCTTGGGGTGTGTCTGCTGCAAGTTCGGACAGAAATACTTCCAAATTTAGGCAAGAGAATGCAAGTAGTAATAACCACAATAATGTAATATTTAACATTCATTACATGCTTGCTATATGCTAGTTCCTGTTCTGTGACTAATTCTTCACACGAATTATTTCATTTAAGCCTTTCATTGTGAGAGTGGTATAATTATTACATTATTTTATAGGTCAGAAAACTAATGCTCAAAAAAATCAGGTGTGGATGAGCTAGTATTGGAAACCAGGCACTCTGATTCCCAAGCCCAGGACCTAACAAATAAGCAATTTCATTTTTCAAACCATCAGAAATTCGAGCTAATAGACCAATTTTAGTTTTATGTATCAGAGGTTCCTAAAACATTGAGATTTGGTAGCCATAATTTCATGCTTGTCTAAGAAAGAGGGAAATATCATTATTTAACAATTATTTTATTCTTATTTTTCTGTGGTCCTTTAACAATACCTGTTGATCTGTATTAATATTGCAAATTGGAAAATTGAAGTAATTGTTCAGATAATTAATTCTGAAGAACTTGTTAATGATAAAAAAAAAGAGGAAAGGAAACTATTCATGGGTTTAAGTTGGAGCAGGGAGGAGATAGGTAGAGGCAGGTGGCAGGGTGGGAGTCAGAGTCGACTCACCTATATTAACTATATCATTTGCCCTAATCTCATATGTTTGGTAGCTTTACCTTCTAATAAGAAGAAATCATCTTGGTTCTATTTACAGAGGCAGTGAATTCAGTTTAAGTCATGTTTTCAAAGGTAGCCTAAGGTGAAGAGGACCAAAATAATTTTTTAAATATCCTCAGAAAGTTATAAACACAAATTTTATTTCCATAGCTTTTGATATATTAGAAATAATCTGAAGATAAACATCTAGCTTGACCAGCATCCTTTATACCAGCAGCAATAATAAGGCCATTCAGATGATGTTATTTATTGAAAGAGGTAAAGTTCGATGCCATTAATGATAATAATATCTTGTATACAAAGAATATGGAGTATTATTTGTGACTTATTAAGACAAAAATAGAGATAACTATGCAGTTCACTTTCAGGTGCTCAGGATACTCTTAGAATGATGCAGCCAAATGTTAGAAACATTCAACA